ACTGGAACTGTACTGTTAATCAAGAATCAGCCCGATAATAAAGGATAAAAAGCATGTATTATAATACTTCATCTCTTTTTAATAAAAGTTTAGTAAATGATGCAAAATTATGTTTTGAAGTTTATATTGAACTCTGAAAAAAAGTTAAATTTTGTTATAAAGATTTTTGGGCAGGTTTTATATGGCCCCAATAAACGGCATTTGAAAATAACCCCCAGCCTTTGGCGAGGGGTTTTATTGCAAAAACGTTTTTATACGGCCCCTATAACCCTTTAACAAACTTTATCACGAAAATTTTTATACAGCAAACATCATTTTTTTTTGAAAAACAGTAAAAATTTTTTCATGAATGCCAGCCGTGTTATAAAAACTATTAAACTCCGACTATCCAAAGAAAAACGACTTACAAAGCAGTATTATAAAAATTTATTTGAAGAAAAAAAGAAATAAGCAAAAATTTAACTGCGTCGTACCCCACAAATTCATAAAAAACTTGCTCCGCTTCGGTTGCAAGTTCCTTAAAATTGTTTTAAAAAAAAGTTGTGCAACAAAATAAAAAGAACGAAGGGGGAAATAGCGTGTTAATACATATTTCTGGTTTTCAGTCATTTCCATCAAAAAGAGTTATAAACTTGGTTTTGATACCGTCTCAGACATTGATAAAGTAGGATATTGTATTTTAACTGCCAAAACCTGTTTTAACATACTGAATAGAAGAAAACTAATTTTATACAACTGACATTATTTTAAATAACTTTTGTTTTGTTTTAGATATACATGTACTATTTAGAAAATACGTTTGCTAATAATCTCTTAACCAAATTTGATTAAATATAACTACAATATTAATTTCTACATGGAATATTTAAAGACATTTTCTACAGTTTTATGAAAATTTAATCATTTCATAAAATTTTCTCTTTTTTTGTATGATAAGTAAAATTTATTGGCGAATTCAAAAATAAAAATATATGGTGACATGTTGGATTTCTCGTAAAATGGCAGTTTCCCTTGTAACCATATATCTCAAAGTTGTCAAAATAGCCAAACTGTGTTATAAAAAATGTATAAGACAGCTTAATATATACACAATAAGCATCATTTTTATACAAAACTTGCGTTATCTACGGGTTCTGTATGAAACAAACGATAATCTGAACATATTTCTTATAAAATATCTAATCAAAATTTAGTTTTTCATGCTTCTTAACTGAACAAAAATGAAAAGTAAACATGAATTTTGTAAATAATTAAAGATATCAAAAAATTTCTTTAATTGAATTTTCTACATTTTTATTATCAAGTTAAATTTTATGATGAATTCAAAACAGAAATAAAAAATATATGTTGACGTGTTAGTCTCCATAGTTACCGCATATGCCAACTGTCAATTATAACAGGCTTTCTTAAGAAGTATCGGTGTTAAACTAAATGCATTGTTATTTATACAACAATAACATGTTGAAATATAAATTTCTATTTCTTTTGATGTTATATGAAGTAAATAATACTGAATATGTTTTAAAACAGTTATATAAGGCCATATTATTTCTTCACTTGACTAACATACGAGAACAGTAAGCAAGTATTCAGAAATAAAAAAGTGGAACATTTCTTAGATATTTTTGTTTTTTTGTTTTTTATTCAACATTTTTAAAATAAACCATTTTCAACTTCTTTGCCCACTTGTCTGCAAGTAATCAAGTGGCGACGCACTTTCGTCACTACCACAAGTGGGTGGGGGTAACGCGCGCGAAATCATCCGAAATGCAATATACACACCGGTCTCAAATATCGACCTGTGTCTTACGACGCATTACTCACCCCAAATGAGGGTAAAAATGACTCCGACAGAAAGAAGTCCGCGTAGGGATGAAAATTTTATTTTACAAACCACAATGTATCTTTTCGAGTGATTAAAATCGTTTATTGCTTTCAAGGGATCACTATTTTCCAGAGTTTAATACGGGTGTTGAACGAAACTGGGTTAATAAAACCAATAAAGGATTGTCAGAAGAGTGTTTGGTGCATGTTTTGAGTAAAAATGGCTATTATGCCAACAGAGTATGGAAAAAAGTTTAATTTTTCAACTGGCCCCATTTTCGATTTGTTCTATCACTTCGGTGTTCAAGCCGCCATGTAAAAAAGTAGTGCGTTCCCATCATGCTTAGCGTGGTTTCACACAGGTCAGTAAGACCGGTGTACACAATGTCCGAAATGTAAACTCCTCACAGCGGTTACGTCACGCTTTGCTACTTTAACCACTGCCACCACTGAAATCACGTGACGATAGTTGTATCATGTGACAAAAACATGGCGGCCAGTTTCAGACCCCCAAGTGATCCAACTGGCAGATTTATAATTAAATCCGTACCAGATAAAGTATGTTCAAAACATTCAATTTGTTTACACTTTAAAACAAGTGCCGGATCAAAACCTTTTGCGCAATCGTTCCATAACTGTCTAACTTCAGTCATTGTTTACTATACATACGGTGTCACAGTGAAAATATCTTTCGTTATGATTACAAAATAATTTTTATACGTATATTTTTTTACATTCTTGTACATTAAGCATAACAATTTAATGAAAGAAAACTAGAATGATATAAAGTCTGACGACCGGATTTACTTGTGGTGGCAGTGGTTACTGTAATGTTCAGGGGAAGTAACCGCTGCGGGGAGTTTGTCCGAAATGTTGTCGGAGAAATCCTTTATCTGATGTTGTCCAAACAACCCTATTCTTCTTTTTAACGAATCTCCTGAACATTTTGAAAAATTTATTGTGTATTAATTACTCGTTGTTTGTAGCCAAAATTTAAACAGTTATCCAAGTACTATTCATCTACCTTCCTTTGAAGAGGATTATCCTTCTTAACTACCAAAAACGTCTTTAGGTAGCATTTCACACTACAGTTTCTGCCGTCAATGTCCTACAAGCAATATGCCTGATGTATCTGATCCCAAACTACACAACCTTGAAAAAGAAAACACATTTTGTTGAGAACATACATGTCATAACATTGCAAATCTATAATGAATTTATCCCATGACAACAGTCAATTCATTCCGTTAAAGCCAAAAATCTACAGTAGTTCGAGACCCAAAACAACACATTTTGTACCTCTGGCAAAATACCTGCAAATATACGGGTAAAGAAACTCACTACTTTAGCAACTCCCTATACATGCAAAATATCACAAAGAAATAGGTGCTTTGCCTTTTAGATTACCGAGCATGCTGTTTGAAAGCAATGTTTACAAACAATGTCGGCCTTGACATATATAATTAACATAATTAACAGCATGTGATTTCTAACCATGTTTTCGAATTTGCGAATGATCATATTATATGTCACAAGGACAAAGTTTATACTGAAAATGCACTTTAAAGACAACCAGTCATTTAAATCCACAATAGTCACTATATCCATAAAATCTTCCCTGGCCATTCGAAGCTGTGGCTTCAATTAGTGTGGCGTGCTGGTTACCCCAGTATTTTAATTTACTTCAGTAGATTCATTTTATGTATAGGTTAGAGTGTATATTGGGTGTTCTTCGTAAAAAAGAAAGCTAAAAAGGAGCGGAGCTTGCGAAGCGACTGTAGCTTTCTTATTTACGAAGAACATCCAATATGCACTCTAACCGGCTTAGTGCTCCGCCCATTTTTTTTCCCGCCTAACACACTGCGTGACGTCACACGATAGCCTAAATGTGTATAGCCATATTTGGAAGAGGTAGCGGTACACATTTTCGGGTCCCGTGTTTTGCATATTCTGTCTATGTAAATCAGACAATATCACGGTGCATATCCATATCGGTACTCTCTTTGCGAAATATTCTCAAACGGTACCCTCTTGGTCATTCTCTGCTAAAAACAAACCAGCGATGGATAACAATGCAGTAAAGTTTCATTGTAATAAGGAAAGGAGATGACACGTAGAAAAGATGTATACAACGGAACACTAGAACGTTTTATTTATGTGCTGATTTGTCATGTGCCCGATTTTCATGTACTGCAACTTCACAATAAGCTACAAAAAGTCGACATGTCTTGCCGCACCCGTCACCTCGACATATTTTTCGGGCTGAAATGAACCTGTGGCTTGATTATATATGCATCATACATATTTATTATGTTCAAATAAATATCATCTTCGGACAAATGGCAGTATATTGTCAAAAATAAATGAAAATTAATAAAAAACACCCTACTTTCAGTTTTGCAGCGGCACGGGCTGTAATATTTACATAAAAAGTAAGAAATATTACATACATACTTTGTTGGAATAAAGTGAACTTTTTATTTGGAAATTATAAAATGATACTGGTTCCGTAAGTAATAAAACATTTTTACTGTTATTTTGCCTGTTTTCATTTCAATGACCCTCTTTTTTTAATTCTATGCCGTAGTGACGATATACATGTGCGTGTAAGGACAAAACATGATGCATAAATATTGATTAGTAGGAGTAAACTTCAAGATCTCTGCACATGCGTATATTTCACTTTAGCGCTCTTCGAAACTTAGCTCCGCCCACTTGCGTTTTATAATATAAAACGTCCAGTTTATATAAAATCTGTTCTATTAAGATTAGAAACCTGAAAATTTGAAAAATCCTCGTCGGTGATTGGCTTAAAAAAATTGGCGAGCACTAACATATGTTCACAACTCGGTATTAAGGATATTTTACATTTTTAGAATTTTGTATGTAAAAAGTAAGTCAACTTTTCAGTCTCTTCTAGACTGACAATTTATAGTTTATTGTATATGTATTTTAACTGTGTGCATTGACTTAAATAAACAAATAAATAAATAAATAAGTAAATAAATAAAACATTTTAAAACTATATTTCGGAAAAAATGTGTACGGAAAGAAATAAAGTACATTATGGCAAACAGTGGAAGTAAGGCCAGATATGTGCATCTGGTTATCACACAAAATATTTGCATATATTTGCTAAAGGTGAAAACCTGATACGATGTTAACTATTTTACCAGAGTGACGTTCAAAGTATTCTTAAGAATAGTCAGGACACTAGATGGTGGACAGGCCTTAATGACCAAAAGGATCCGAATGTTTGGGTATATGATCGTGGTCTTTATGCTGTCAGTGCTGATATAAGTATCATGTAAGTATAGTAACACACACATTAGTAATCTATATTTAACGTTGTTATTTATTTATTTATTTTTTTGTTGGGGGAGGGGGATGACAAAAGTCCACAAATTAAAAAAAGTTAACAATTGATATGACATAGTATTTAACATAATTGTATGCGTTTGTTGCAGCTCAGAACAATGTAAATTCTTCAATTTTAGGTCACTTATTATGATGAAACCATGTACTTGTATGGGAAGCCTTGACTATCTCATGATTTTTAAAATGAACGATGTTGTGTCGTTCTCTTTATACAATGTGCACTTATGAATATATTATGTGGAAGCATCCTTATATGAATTCAACTAAACAATTTATGATATTAATGTGTATTTTTTTGTGTCAATCTATCATTTAACTATGTGCATTGATGAAACTTTTATTTGGTAGCATCACTTATTATGTCATTTTTTCATTATACGATCTGAATCTATAATTACAGTATGTGCATTTATGAATACACTCAAAGTAACTTATAACCCGACACTTACTTATTTTCTGTACAAATAGGTTATTTGTGAACGGATTTTGTTCGAATTTGGACCATACAAAATTCAACATATCATACTTACTACTTAGAATTATAATTTTAATTCATCGAGAAAAATAACAAAACAAATAGGCTACTGTAAAATGAAAAATCACAGAATGGCTATTACAGTGTAAGCACCTCGGCCTCACATTTCTCTATTCCTAAACAAGGGTTTGTTCGAGTTCCAGCAAATTGCGATGGGCTTCTGGTTGCTTTCTCATACGCCTGTTCAATTCGACCGACAACTACGATGTTTAGATCTGGTGACTCGGCATGCAGAAGTCGCTGGAACTCAAGGAAGTCCTTTATTCCCTGCGGTCTGGAGACCGCAGGGTATTGGTACGCGTTTAACTTTTGAGGCATGGAGGAGCACGTGACCTGTTTTCGGTACATGGAGGAGCATGTGATCTGTAAACCGTACATGATTGGTTAATTGACCTTTTCGAAAACCTGGCCAAATACCGTTTGCCGGTACGTTACGGATAATCCTCTAGGGAATAAGTCAGAATTACATCTAATTAAGAACAAAAAACTATTACGTGATATTTTTAATTTTCTATAATTTTATAATACCGTTTAAGGTGGAAAAACTTGAATGATGTGTTTGAAAATTATCAATGTTTCTTTAATATGTACAAAATTAAAATATTCGTAGTGGCATCTGCCATAATAAATAGAGATGTTTTCTGTGAAAACTTGCGTGTTTGCTTTTTTTTTTTGCTCGGAATTATTCATAAAATGGTAGGCCTATTTAATTATTTTCTTAAAAAGAAATAATTGTTTTATGTTCGACCTTCTCCGGTCATTAACGGTCACCAGTTTCCAAAGACCTTCTTCTATATTGATCGATTATTCCTGATACAAACGTTTATTTATCCACCCGCCCAAACAATGTTGAATATAGTTAATTGAAATATCTTTTTATCATCAAAAATGTTCCCCGCAGGAAACCATTTTACTTGTACAGAGATGGAGAAATATTCACCAAGCCTTCGTGAGAAACTATGTCATAACCATAACTGGTGTCTTCACTTTATTATAGCCATTGGAGGACCCACAAAGTGAAAGAACTGGTTAACATACAGATTTAGTTGGATTCAGCGACTATATGATGTAAATCTATCAGGATGGTTTCATATGATATATTCATAAGTGCACAATTCTTAATGATAGAATGACACCATATAAGGACATATTAACATAAGATATTGTCATTTTGACTACATATAAGGATGGATCCATAAATACTAAGAGGATATTTTTTCGCTTGAGTGAAACATGGACTATATTTTCACATGCCACATATTTTCATGAGCCGACACGGCGAGTGAAAATATGTGGCATTTTATCATGTTGAGTGAAAATATATACCATATTTCACGAAAAACAAAAACATTAAACTTTTTATTTAATTTCATTATCAAAGAAAAATGGTGACGAATCCCCTTGCTTGCTAACGCAACTGCAATTGTACAGCGCGCAGTAATATATTGTTTTGACTGTTTTTGCACGCTCTGTATAATGAAAGATTGGCATCATATAAGGACACATCCGGACATCATGTATTATTAAGTTGACTCTAAATAGAGGATATTGAATGAGTGTAAGTTCAATCCTGAATTCATTGCACGAGTTGAATATTATTTTATTCAACAAGTGCAATAATTTCAGTAATGAACTTACATGAATGTAATATTCTATTTATCACATACCCAAAATAAAGACCGTTTAAAGTGAAATAAGAGTCATTTTTCATTGACGCGCCTAAAGTATAACGCTAACATTTAGCGCGTCTTTAATAGTCTCTTTACACTATGTTTGTATAACGCTAATGACGTCACGTCCGTGCAATACCATATTTACGGAGTCGCAAAATCGGCATGAGTGTGTAAAAAATATGGATTATTTCACATTATATATTGATATTTTAACTCTATATAAGAATTGTTCCAAATGCACATCGTATACTAATAAATTGACAACATGTAATGACAGATTGACATAATATGTCGTAATTTTGACTCTATATAATGATGGTTGGACAAAGTATATATAGAGAATTATGTAGAATTATTATAAATAAATACACACCGTATAATTATGTGGTAACATTAATATACAGTATACATAACATAGTATCAACATATTATGTCAATCTTTCATTATACGATGCAAATCTATTATTTTACACCTTTTGCTGCTGAGAAATTTTGCCGTTTAGACCTTAAATCTATTGCAAAGTCTTACTTTTAAAGAGAAAATTGTACTAGAGGGTTGCACTGTATATTTACAGTAATTGGATCAATGAACCTGATGACACAAGACATCTCCAGAACTGCATTGCATTAAATTACCAAGGAAGTGTTAGTGACGAGAGATGTGGTGATAAAAATACATATATTTGTGAATATCTAAATCCCGGTAAGTGTCCGACAAAAATATACATCTGTAGATATTCGAATTCCGGTATATGTCTGAAAAAAAAGACATTTACATTTTTGAAAATCTGAATCCCGATAAATGTCAAAAAACCAAAAAAAAAAAAAAACATATAGGGACCATCAGAGAATATCTTAAATCCGGTAAGTGTCCTAAAAATATACATCTGTGGTTATCCGAATCTCGGTTTGTTATGGTGGCTGATTTGGAACGTTTTGTGTGCATTGTTTTAGCGCTAGCGACAATACGACAAAGCGCCAAACGGCGCGTTGTCGGACTTTCATCTTGTCGTCCTGTCGCTAACGATGCACGCCAAACGGCGCGTTGTCGTGCGGCGTGTTTTTGCGATGTCACATTGTCGCTCTGTTCAAATCAAAGGATTGGCTTATAAGCCAAGCGACATCGCCACAACGCACCCACGGCAATGCGACGTTTGGCGTGCTTTGCTAGAGACAGAACGACAATGCGACAACGCGCCGTTTGGCGCTTTGTCGTTAGCGACAAAACGAAAAGCGAAAACGATATATAAGTTGTGTTGTCGCTACCAAATCAGCCACCATAGTATATGCCTAAAAATTATTATATCTTTGAAAATCCGAATTTCAATAAGTGTCCGGAAAAAAAGCATATTGGAACCTACAGATTATTAACGTTGCAACTGACAAGGTCTGTGGACATCAGTGTATCATACAACAATGTATGTTAATGTAAAATGGAAATTAAGAGAATATTATCGACAGTTCAAATATTTATATTTTCCTATATTATCAAGTTCTTGAAAAACACGACAACGTGGATTCATTTCTTTAAATTTTCATGTTTGAAATCGCGATACATATGTCCACCTTACTGTTAGTATTGTTGTTAATATTTTAGCATAGTTAATGTAATTCAAATGCAAACCACAACGCGATTTCAAACATGAAAATTATTTATAGTGCAATTTGGTCGTACAGAATCATCACATTTTGTATTGTTACTGCGTGTTGCTAAAAAGCTTTTTCGATGCACATACCGCATTAATAACTTTTCTATCTTGAGAAAATATTAGAAATGATAGTTTAACGTCTCAATTCCGACTAAAAGGACGCAAAGAATAGAGGAATTGATAAAAGATTGACCTTGATTTTCTGTCATAATGTTAGCCACTTTCATGGTATTTCTGCCTACAACGGCAGCATTTTTTCTTCGACCGGACCAGATTGAACGTCTGTAAAACTTTCAAGAATAGACTCACGGGGTAGATATTTGGCTTGCGTGACCCCAATGGATGAATTAATAACACGACATCCTGCCATTTAGTTAAAACTTGAGATATTTTGAACAAAAAACAGACATTTTCACGGATTTTTTCAAAGCTGTCACTTTTAACCTGCTCAAAATAGTCTAAAACAGGAAAAAACGAGTCCAAAATTACCTAATAGTATCTCCAGTCAATGGACAATAGTTTCGTAGCAATGAAATGGGCCGTATTTGTGTACCAAATTTCTAACCTACCTGTACCGAGCGGTAAATTTCAGCTATCTGCAATCATTGCAGTGATCTGCCATCCATCACTGGCGCCGGTAATACGGTGTGATGGTTTCGTTAAAAAAATTAGACGCATATTTGTGTAGCATGACTTTGTGTTGATTGCCGATTTGACTTTTGAAGTTTTGTTTAATTGAAATTATCGTGAAATTTTGAATTTGACAATTCAAGACAAAAAGTGCAGTAAAGTTTAACTCTATGTGGTTCTTAGGGATTTTTTGGATCGATTTTTAAAGGTAAGAATTTTATCGTGTTGCATTCTGTTGTATCTTTTATCACAGGAAATAATCTCGAGCCGAAAGAAAAAAAGGGCCGCCATTTACAAATTCTAAGGTTCAGGGGCGGAAGAATTTGTTTTCAAGAATTATTTCTTTTAACAAAAATGCCCATTTGCACGATATTAAAAAAAAACAAGTTTAAATGAAATTTCCTTAACATTTTCTTTGATATTAACCACTGGTAGCCTCATTTAGTCGAATTTCTCATAAAATACAAGAAGTCTTGGGGTGAAAAATAAGTTCGATAATCAACGTTAAATTGCGATGAAATTATTCATTTTATTCAAATCACATGAATGATAATAAAACAAACAATGCTAGTAGGAGAAAAAGTCAAACCATCCATCCTTATTTTTGTTACTTACGGCGAACTTATATTAGACCTGGCTTTGTGAAATGTAAGCGGCTGCCATTTTTAAATAAGAGATTAATACACGGCAGAGTAGGGCCGGAAGGTGATAATCGGCCCGCAAAATGAATAATGGCCCCGAGGCCTTCAGCCCAAGGGTATTATTCATTTAAGGGCCGATTATCACCTTCCGGTCCTACTCTGCCGTGTATTAATGTCTTTAATACACTTAGTAGATCTAATATTAGCATTTTTATTAAAAAAAAACCCCAAATACTTTGAAGTTCTTTCGTTGAAATTCTTGTCTACACTTCTACTGTTCTGTACAGAGATGTGTTCAAAGTAGTAGAATCTAGAAGCAAGTTTTATTTTCTTTTTTTTTAAATTAATTTGTCGTATTATTTCTTCAAATTTCAATAGAAACAAAAATGTATTTGTACGAAATACGCTTAAGCTCTCATAATAAAATAAAGCGATTCGTGCCGATAACCTACTTTCACTTTAACAGTTAACTGTTTGATGACGTAAAAAATGACGTCATTGTTTCAGTTTGTGCACGTGCACATGTTCTGCGGGCTAATAACTAGTTCTCGGCCCCGGGCCGCAAACTCATAATAGGTCACGTGACACTCATAATCAGTTGAACTCATAGGCAATTTTGTTAATATATATAGTAACAAGTGTATTAAAGTTGTTTAATACACTTGTTACTATATATTGTAACAAAATTGCCTTTGGTTTCGACTGATTATGTATAGTTTAGAGTGCATATTGGGTGTTCTTCGTAAATAAGAAAGCTAAAAAGGAGCGGAGCTTGCGAAGCGACTGTAGCTTCCTTATTTACGAAGAACATCTAATATGCACTCTAACCGGCTTAGTGCTCCGCCCAACACACTGCGTGACGTCACACGATAGCCTAAATGTGTATAACCATATTTGGAAGAGGTAGCGGTACACATTTTCGGGTCACGTGTTTTGCATAGCTTATTCCCGCATTCTGTCTAGGTAAATCAGACAATATCACGGTGCATATCCATATCGGTACCCTCTTTGCGAAATAATCTCAAACGGTACCCTCTTTGAACATACACAGGTCATTCTCTGCTAAAAACAAACCAGCGATAGATAACAATGCAGTAAAAATTCATTGTAATAAGGAAAGGAGGTATGACACATAGAAAAGATGTATACCACGGAACACTTGAATGTTTTATTAATGTGCTGATTTGTCATGTGCCCGATTTTCATGTACTGCAACTTCACATTAAGCTACAAAAAGTCGACATGTCTTGCCTCGCCCGTCACCTCAACATATTTTACGGGCTGAAATGAACCTGTAGCTTGATTATATATGCATCATGCATATTTATTATGTTCATATACATATCATCTTCGGACAAATTGCAGTATATTGTAAAATTAATAAAAACACCCTACTTTCGGTTTTGCAGCTGCACGGGCTGTAATATTTACATAAATAGTAAGAAATATTACATACATACTTTGTTGGAATAAGTGAACTTTTTATTTGGAAATTATAAAAATGATACTGGTTCCGTAAGTAATAAAACATTTTTACTGTTATTTTGCCTGTTTTCATTTCAATGAACCTCTTTTTTTAATTCTATGCCGTAGTGACGATATACATGTGCGTGTACGGAAAAAACATGATGCATAAATATTGATTAGTAAACTTCAAGATCTCTGCACATGCGTACATTTCACTTTAGCGCTCTTCGAAACTTAGCTCCGCCCACTTGCGTTTTATAATATAAAACGTCCAGTTTATATAAAATCTGTTCTATTAAGATTTGAAACCTGAAAATTTGAAAAATCCTCGTCGGTGATTGGCTTAAAAAAATTGGCGAGCACTAAGAGTGTCTTACGACCTATGTATATTATGAGTTTGCGGCCCGGGGCCGAGAACAAGTTATCAGCCTGCTGAACACGTGCACATGCACAACGACGTCAAGTCAAATTTTACGTCATCAAACAGTTAACTGTAAAATCGCTTGATTTTATTATGAGAGGTGAAGCGTATTTCGTACACACACGCAGTTTTATTACTATTGAAATTTAAAGAAATAGTAAGAGGATATTTTTTCGTTTGAGGAAAATATTTTCACAAAACATGATAAAATGCCACATATTTTCACGAGCCGTGACGGCGAGTGAAAATATGTGGGCCATTTTATCATGTTGAGTGAAAATATATACCATATTTCACGAAAAACGAAAAAATAACCTTTTTATTTAATTTCATTATCAAAAAAATGTTACGAATCCCCTTGCTTGCTACACAACTGCAATAAAACAGCGCGCACTAATATATTTATTATTAATAGATGCGTCTTGTTTTGCATGCGATGTTTTACGCTACATTGTGACGTCACGTAATCAACACTTTAAACGTCTGTAAAGCGTGAATGACTGAATTAAAGAAATAGATGTTCGGATTTATTTTCTATCATTCTAGATAGTTTTTAAAACAAAATTCAGCTGCGCTTTGGGCCATATACCTTCCTCAGTCTGACCAACCAGTCAGTAAACTTGCATATTGCCCTCAAGGCCATGTCTTCTTTGTTAAGTATTTCACGGGAGGAAAATAATTGTGTTTGATTCAGAGGGTTATCGTCAAACATCTTTTTAGAAGAAAGAAAACTTATTTAAGGATTGTTACAGACAATAAATAAGTGTTGACAGAGGTGTAAACATTCAAAAAGCGGCTAGGAAATTGGAAAACATGGAATATTTGAAAGGCTGCCTTACGAACGCTGGGTTATTTACTTATTCTTCGGGCTGATGTCTGTCATAGCTTTTCAAGTTATTAGGCAGTTATTGCTCGTAGGATACTTAAATATGCCCAAATGTCATCAAGAGCAGTTTTGCATGTGGAAAGAATTGTATTTTTCAAACTGAAAAATTGAAACAAAAATTTAGAGACGACATTTGGTGATCAATAATTTGAATGAATTAAAGTAAATTTTCTTCTTTTTTATTACTTTTGAAAATTACAGTTATTTATCAATTTCAGCTTTGCTTTTCTCTAAACTTCCCTGACAATGTCAGAATTGTCAACAATAATAAAATCAAAATTGAGTTACCACATGGGGAAAATCTTAAAAAGTAGTCTCATCATTAAAAAGTGTGAAATTATGTTTGATAATTTTCACTGTGAAATTATCAAATATTATTGTCACGGATAAATCAGTAATCCACTGAAAAGCAAAAGAAAATATAAAACTGATACATTTTTTGTATTTCAATGTTTGAAACAGTGAAATTATCAATTTCATATTTTTCAATGTTTGGAATTTGTTTTGACAACCGTTACGTTGTTTCAGTGAAATACCAGCGTGCACAGTACTGGAAACCAACTAATTAACGTAACGTCGTAAATGACGTCACGTTATATTAATATTTGGCGCGCTCTTCATTTAGTATAAGGTTATACTGTCTTTTTAAACGTTTCTTTGCATATGATAAAAAGAAAATTTGTTTAGTGTAAGAGTGAAATATATTTCACTTCGTTAAAATATTTTACTCGTGGCTGCGCCACTCGTGAAATATACCTTTTGGTGCTTACTCGTTGAAATATATTCCGATCTTACAACTGAACTAAACAAATATCCTCTATTTATAACACTCCTGCGCCGCGGTTAATATGATAAAAACACAATAGACAGAATGTGTTGCGTTTTCGCCTGACGGGGCGAAAACGCGATAAAGTTACAATTTGTCGTGTTTTCGCCTGGCAGGTTTCCATGAAATCCAGAAAAGATTTTTGAGTTTTCGCATGTTTGCACCTAAAGGGGGCAGGGGACCTAAAAATGAACAATTTTGATTTTCAGTGTGGCCAGAACACAATTCCAAATATTTCAAAATCTGTTTTACAGGCAGATAACCAGTTACACAGCATTATTTAATGATATATGACATACATTCAAAAAAATAAAAGTTTGAATGCATTGCTCCTTAAAAAATGGCTGACAGTAATTTATTTGGGACAACAACAAAACAATATCATACTTTAACTAATTTTATTTTATAGTCATACATAGTGGCATATGTGCGTAATGTTTTAGTTAATCTTTGGCATTTTATGGCCACGACTCCATTAATAAAAGCCAAAAGGTTGGGATACCGGGCATACAAAACCCTGTTAGGGCATCCATAGCAAAGCAAACAAATGACACAAAATCAAAACAAGCAAATGACAAACTGTTTAGCTTTTTGGAACAGTATGTTCTAGAAAATCATTGATCAAAGCTGTTCAAGCAATACTAGTCTTTCAATTCTTCATTTACAAAATAGTCAATTTTCACAAATGTATATGAGCAACAACACAGCATTGACACTGTTGCGCGAAATTGATTATGGGAAGCAGAAACTAGTATAGCCAGTATCACAAAATGTCTATTCGCCGGCCGCAAAATGCAAAAATTTAGCAGACACAACAAGTGAAATCTAGTATTTGAAAGTTCATAGAACACATCTCTGGAGTCGCACCGTTGTCGCATTCTCTCTGCTGGTGGTTTTGGTCCAAGCAGTTTTCCTAAAGATACCTCTTCCGTGGTATTTAGTAGGGCTAGCTGTCTTGAAACACGTCGCTTGTGTTGGCTAATCTGAAAACATATCAAATGAGGACAGAAACAACGAAACAAGCTAACGCTAGTAATAAATTAAAGCTCAAATCTTTGACACTTCACACTCATAATTGACCGAGGAGGGCGGGTGGGTTTTTTCAACAATTCATTTCTTCCATTGTTACAACATTCGACGCCAGAGTTAAAAGGATATGACGTAGATACAGTACCTACGTTATAACCAGGGCAGGGTATAAGTTGTTCCCCAAATAACAGAGACTATTCTATAGAAATAGTCATCATTATATTTACCCCCACCAAGCCGAAATCACACCTAAAATATACCAATATGGACAATCTTCATGAAGGTGCAGCATACACCAGAATCCTTTTAAAATATCTCTAACACGCAGTGCAAGCAATGGCATTGTCAAAAATGACAAATAAAGTGTCTGTCATAGTTTAGATTTTTCACAAAATTCATCTGAAATCTTTTACTTGTTTGGCGCCAACTGTCAAAGCTTGATTTTCAACTTTTTCACCTCCATTCGGAGAGTCACAAATACATACAAAGCTACCAAAATGCTTAGTTTCGGGTAAAAACCCAAAAATACTTCTCATTTCCTACACACAAACAAGAAAGAATTACAATGACAGAGAAATACCAGATGTTTCCAGTACCTTCAAAACACCATGTCGGAGTTATTAAAAAATTTGACCAGGGCCATCATTCGGATATGTCCCCTGCTCCTTAAAACACGCTCATAAGACATGTCACAAATCAGTCACCATACCATTACCTTATTTAAGGTGAAGGTACATGCTTGCCGGGATGGTTCAACTACAGCACCGGATGTTATCACTTCCCGGCCGGACACGATGATCCTTTCAGCATGCTAACCTGGACAAAAGCTGAAGAAAAGTGTTCGGGAGCATCTGTGGCCTCACTTAAACCACATCTTCTTTATATAGAATCTCAAGATGAGCTGGTTTGTACTTTGCATGTTTATCTTAATTTAATTGTAATTAAATTGTCCCTGTGAAATTAAAATAATTGTGTTTCGTTTTCAGTTTGGCATTTTATGATCCGATTTCATCCACAAAGTTTTATTCGTTCCACTCTATTAAAATTGATATGATGTAGCAAAAACTATAAAACCTAAATACTATATTATAACACAGGATTACATAAGGCATCAGTTACCGTTAATATCGCTGACTTCACAGTTATGGTGGATAGGTATGACAGACAAGCAGACGGAAGGCCAATACAGGTGGACCGACGGAACTCCAGTTAGTAAAAAATTGGTGTAAGGATCATAGTTACTGATACAATAACAAATTATAATCCCAACTTTTTTGTGACGAAATTTGTTCGTAAATATCATATTTTCAATTATACGATTTCAATTTATGTCTGAGTATATGTTTTAACTTTCTTTTGCACATTTTTCTGTTTTATGTATCCCAGCTGATTAATGTAAGTAATTAAAATATTTATTTGTTAGACTTTTGACCTCGGTGGATTCATTGTTTACTAGTATTCGACAATTCCTTTTATACAAGGATCAATTTGACTGGACTAGATTTCCAAATTACTTTTTTTAGATTCTGGGCACAGGAACCTAACAATTTAGGAGGTCAGGAAAATTGTGTTTATACAAATAGCAACGGCTCTCTCGCAGATCTGAATTGTACAAACAAGGAAAGTTACATTTGCAGCAAAGAAAATGACAGTAGGACATTTCCTTTTCATATATCATAACCCTAACTTTTTGTAATGTGTATTTTCCAAAAGTCAATGGGAGTTACTCTTACATAAAATGCAAGTGGTTTTAATTTTTTTATTGTACATGTAATACTATCTAGTGCACTTTTACTCTGTAATGAAAGTATCGTTAAAGTTTGCGCAAAGTGATAAGTCTTTCTCCAATTTTCAGTGAAAGTTAGTCCGATTGGTGCATTGGGTTGCCCCAGTGCCTGGACAAGAGCTGGCCACTTCTGTTACCTTATCGAGACTAACAAAAGAAAAACCTGGTCAGACGCTCTGAAAACTTGTAGCCAAGCTGGTTCAAACCTTATAAAAATGGACACACTCGACAAAAAGGTATAGCACTGATGAGTTTAGATAACATTAAGTTTGGTCGAATGATGTTTATTGTTAAAAAAATAATTCTAAATATGTTAAATATTTTGTTAGAATCGATAGTGAAATGTCTGCTGACACAATTTAACTCACCCAGAACAAGCATGTGAATTACGCGAAAAATCATTAACTATTTGTATTTAGCGCTGTTTTAATCTTATAACTTATTTCCACTCTTAAACTTATAATATAAAAGTACGATTTTGCATTACTAAGTGTTTTGCTTTTCTGTAAATCGTGGCTAAGAAAGTGTTTTATAAATTTTAAATGATTAAATTTCATTTATCTGAACAAGATTTAAAGATATAAAACATCTCTATCTCAAGCGAATTAGTTTGAGAAATGATTAATATATTTGGTACTTCAATCTTTTAATTAAAGTATTGAATAAGCGGTCGTTAGTGTCTAAATTTAGCAATAAGTTATTCAAAAATATACAAACCCCTTAAATGTGTTGTTATTGCTAAATGTAGGAGATACCAAAAATGATTCAGAAAATTTAATTCAAGTTATTAATATACAGTCCGACCCCGGTTATTCGACAACCCCTTTTTCGAATACCCGGCATTATCTGAAGTAGATCGACGGTCCCGTTTTTATCTCTATATAAATCAATATAAATACGAGTGTATTATTCGAAATGCATTATCCGAATACCTCCTATTTTTCGAAGTAAAATGACGGTCCCGATTATACAATTATGAAAGAATTTCACACCTATTATTCGAAGCCAGCCTAATAATTATTCGAAGCCAGACTAATTGGCGCAGATCGACTCGCTGACCGGTCGACTTGTGAAAAATATCAACAGTCATGCGTGTATTTAGACAATCATGATAATAACTCTTTGTGTGTTCTTTAATGAACTTTAATTACCGAAAATGAAAAGCAATGCACCGTGTCCGATTTTGTTACTGTTATTGCGTGAAGATGACAACAATAATTTTCATACATACTGTATATGTAAATTTGTCAAAACATCCAAAAAACATTGAACATGAGTTTAAGTGACAACACGGCCATTATCAAGGCATTGCGCTAAACGAAACGATACATAATGTGAATAAAATGCAAGTATTATGTCTTCAATGTCAATACAATAATTTTTACGCATCTTTTCTTTAATATTTATTGTTCTCAATTGATTACAAGAAGTAGGTGTGTTGTAAAAGGTAGTTTTGCTATGATTTGTCAAAGTGGAGTAGTTTTCGTCTATCACCATATTCTTATTTAGATTATTCGAACCCATCGATTATTCGAAGCAAATATTCAGTCCCAGGCACTTCGAATAAACGGGGTTGGACTGTAGATAAATATAAGGATGCCCAATGGATAAATAACAAATATAATTCGTTTTCTGAACACACCAACATTATTTTTATAAAATCTGACACATACCTGTCATAATTAACTAAAACAAAATTCAGCTATGCTTTTCTTTGGTTTTGCTCCTTTTTTATTTCAAAACTATGAAACTTCTGAAGTTACATAAAAATGAAATTAGTAAAACTGTTCTCTTTAACCTTTTTGTTATTGTTATATATAACTGATACAAAAGTTTAACTTTTATCGTCATTATATTTCAATTTCCTATAATGTTTGAGGCTTAAGAATTGCAGCCATTGTTTTATCCCTGCGTGATTGTAAGAGACGACTAAATGGGTTCGGATAACTGAAGTCTATACAAGTTTGCTTCTTTAAAAAGAAGCATGCGAGAGGTATTTTGCTGCTGTGGAAGATTTGTTTGATTCGAAAATATTTGGGGATATTATGTGGCATAAAAGACACAATGAATGGCTATAAATTACAATTATAAAACAAAATAGAATTTATCATATATATTGCAATGAAAGTGTGTTTTACACTTCATCTTTTTTAATGTTTTAAAAGATTATATGCCGGAGAAATGGACTTTTTTCTTGGCGCATTAGGGATATTTTTTCTACAAAAAAATGTAAAATTACTAAATGTAAATTCAATAATATATATCATTTACATTTGTATTTTAAATTCAGTTCCCTTTGTAGAATAAGTATATATATATATATTAAAAGTAGTATCAAAATAAAAGTTTCTTGTAAAGTTCAATAAGTAAATTTTCGGTCACAGTTTTGTTTAATATAAGGAAACGTTTTCTCTACATTTTCCAAAACGGATATAAAGTATGTTAATCAAACAATTTTAAGTCCAGGGTTTACATAAACAATGTTAATATCATTTGATTGGAATAAACAGTATATATACTGTTATATACTGTTATACTGTTATATACTTTTTATTGGAATAAACAGTATATAAAACTGCATGCCTCCAACCACAATCTTAGAAGAAAATCAAACTTGAGGTAAAATTTGTGCCATTTGTGCCAAAAAACTCCCTTTGCGTTATTTAGACATATATAAACGATTTGAACCCCAACCGGATTTTGTGAGAAGATTTCAACATCAGTTCCGTACAAACAGGCGGGGTGACCCATAAAACTTTTTAAGACGAGTGAAGTTATGTCAACATTTGAATCATGTTAAGAAATATTTTTTTCTTTGCTTATAGATACATCTATATACAGCTTCTTTAAATTTATGCGCAAAAATGCTGTGCTCTTCGCTTCGTGTTTTGTTTATGTCAACACACGCCGATTACACACGCATATTTATGCCTTAAATTGTTTTATTTCACTATAACTCATATCTGAATCTTAACTTCATTGTCTTACCTCGTGTTACCGTACAGACACTTGTGTAGATATCTTTGAATATTGATAATAACATAGTAACAAGAGGGCCATGATGGCCCTGAAGTCGCTCACCTGTATATAGGCCCCCGGAGCGGGGCCAGTTAAAACCCCAGGGTTTTTATTTGAACAAACTTGGTAGACACCCATTAGAAGATATTTCATGCTTAACATCTAAGGTCTAGCTGGTCAAGTTTTTTTCTTTACACATATAGTTAAAAACAATGACACACCTGGGGCAGGGCCAGTTTTGACCCAAGGGCTTTTATTTGAACAATCGTTGTAGACACTTACTAGAAAATGTTTCATGCTTAATATCTAAACTCTAGCTATTCGGGTTTTTTCAAAGAAGACTTTTAAGTTTGCTATACACATATAAGGAAAAGGAATGACCCCCGGGGCGGGGCCTATTTTGACCCCAGGGCTTTTATTTGAACAAACTTGATAGACACTCACTAGAAGATGTTTCATGCTTAGTATCTAAACTCTAGCTATTTAGTTTTTTTCAAAGAAGATTTTTAAATGGACCCCAGGGGCGGGGCCAATTTTGACCCAAGGGCTCTTATTTGAACAAACTTGGTAGACATCCATTAGAACATGTTTCATGCTAAATATCTTAGCTCTAGCTCTTTGGGTTCTTTAAAAGAAAATTTTTAAGTTTTTACTATTTGCATATAGGGAAAATCAATGACCCCCTGGGGCGGGGCCAATTTTGACCCCAGGGTTTTTATTTGAACACCCATTAGAACATGTTTCATGCCAAATATCTTAGCTCTAGCTCTTTGGGTTCTTTAAAAGAAGATTTTTAAGTTTTTACTATTTGCATATAGGGAAAATCAATGACCCCCTGGGGCGGGGCCAATTTTGACCCAAAGGGCTTTTATTTGAACAAACTTGGTAGACACCCATTAGAAGATGTTTCATGCTAAATATCTTAGCTCTAGCTCTTTGGGTTCTTTAAAAGAAGATTTTTTTTAAAGATTTTTCTATATGCACATAGGGAAAATCAATGACCCCCTGGGGCGGGGCCAATTTTGACCCCAGGGCTTTTATTTGAACAAACTTGGTAGACACTCACTAGAAGATGTTTCATGCCAAATATCTAAGCTCTAGCTCTTTGGGTTTTTTTTAGAAAAAGATGTTTAAAGTTTTTTCTTTTGGTTGCCATGGTAACCAGAGTTCTGCATGGAATGGAATTCTTTGAACAACTTTGTTAAGGCTTCACACAAGGAACATTTCTGTGAAGTTTCATTATGATCTGCCTTATGGTTTCAGAGGAGATGTCGTTTGAAAAGTGTGAACGGACAACGTACGACGGACGACGGACGAAGAGTGATCCTAATAGCTCACCCTGAGCATATGCTCAGGTGAGCTAAAAAATAGAGGCGAACTTTCTGATAACTGTACCCGTCTTGCTAAAACAATTTTAATGATCTGTACCCTACTTGTGTTTTCTCTGAACCATAACTTGCGAGTCACTTTTGATGATTTTTATTGTTTTTGTCCTATGTTCCAAATTATATCTTACAGAATATGAAGTTATTGTGTCACAAGAGCATGACACATCTTTTAGTTCTACATAAGTAACCAATACTGCACCTTCATCATGTTTTTACTTTCCATGGAAATACAATGTACCAGCATGAAGTAGCTGGTAATACGAATTAGGAAGAAAATTATTTTTTGACAGGAATTATCAACCAACAAATCTTATCTTCATTTACCATTCATTTTTCTTTGAAAAGATATAAAGCTAAGATATAACATAAGTATTATAAACGTTTCTACTATTAAGTTTAACAACATTGTTGTTGGTTTTGACGTGACCGTTGTATAACGTCACATATCAATCCATCCTCCTCGACAGATCATCACAGTTTTTTTGGCAGATTACTTACTAGTATTTCAACACGTTGAAAGCTTTACACCTACCGTTGATTTCAATATGCTTTTTGAAACACGGTTTTATATTCTCATTAATGCCTTGACTTTCGTTTTCTAACATGCACGACTACACTCTTAATAAATCATTTTAAGGAGTTTCCTGCATATTTTTGTTAAATGTCTAAAACGTAGTTTTCACTCTTGCAAGTTTATTTCCACTTATTTCTTTTAAATAGTTTACAATCTTATCGGTGTCTAAGATAACTAGTTAGTTTTCTTTTTACACAACTTAAAAAGTTTATCATTGGCTATCATAAGTTATCTTAAGTCAAAAGATATATATATA